ATCCTATACAAAACTATCAGAAATACTTTGGACTATACTCCACAGTGCCCTTGTTTCTTGAGTGCCAGAAGATGCTGACCTTTCTAAGTGAGTATATATTGTGAAAAAAATTTTGATTTGAGTTCTGACATGGGAAAATTTCTGCTATGGGAATTTCATGATTGAGAAACACAATAAACACAGGTGTTTTGGAAGTATACAGAAGGATGGAGGAAAGGAAAACAGAAAGCAATGAATACCAAAGAGAACCCCGTAGTCTTTAAAGAAGATGGGATACAAGTAGTTGGGAATGTGTATTAGAGATTAAACGACAAGATCATTAAGGAGAAGATTGCACAAACATCCAGGTGCATTGCAGAGTATTTTCAGGAAATGTTTCAGTTTACTGATAAAAAGATTGAATCAATTTTCTTGCATGTATCAAATGCGGTCAGACCACAGTTTGTGGTTTTGATACCATGGCTAAATAATGACCAGAAATTATGAAGCAGAATTATAAAGCAAGATAAACATGATTCTCTGATTTTTGCTTGTTGGATTGTTTTCGTTTTGTTTGTTAGTTTGCTTTTGGGTAACAGCTTTACTGAAATATAGCTCATATACCATACAATTCACCCATAAAAGTGTACACTTCATTAGTTTTTAGTATATTCATTGAGTTGTGTAACCATCATCACAATCAGTTTTAGAACATTTTCACTACCTCAAAAAGAAATTCTATACCATTTAGCTATCACTCCCAACCCCCATTCTCCCCAGCCCTAAGCAACCACTAATCTGCTTTCTGTCCTATAGATTTGCCTATTGCAGACGTTTACTATCAATGGGATCATACAATATGTGGTCTTTTGTGACTGGCTTCTTTTCCTCAGCATAATGTTTTCAAGTTTCATCCGTGCTGTAGCATGTATTAGTACTTCATTCCTTTCTATGGCCAAATAATATTCCAGTGTATGGATAGATCACATTTTATTTATCCATGCATCAGTTGATGGACATTTGAATTGTTTCCACTTTTGGGCTATTATGTATAAGGCTGCTATGAACATTTAAGTATAAGTCTTTATGTGGATATATGTTCTTATTTCTCTTGAATGTATGTCTAGCAGTGGAATTGCTGGATCAAATCATAACTCTACCTTTAACTTTGTGAGGAACTGCCAGACTGTTTTCAAACATGGCTGCATTATTTAACATCCTCACAGCAGTGTTTTGGTTTGTTTTTACCTGATTTTAGAATCTTAGCATTGGAAGACATCTCATGTTAGTTTAACATCCCACCTTAGCAGAAACCCTTCCTATCTCTAAAAATCCTGAGGAATTCTTTTTCCAACTTTCCATGAACACATGTAGTATCTTCACACTGCATTTTATATTAAGTAAGAATTATTCTGGAAACATCCAGTGAGACTGGGACTCTCCTTAGTTTTTCTTTCTTATTCTGTTCCAAATATCATTCAATGCTGGAACTTCAGTAATTGGAAAAATTGCTATTCTCTGCTCCTGTTCAATTTAATTTCACAAACATTAAAGAAATATCTGCTATATGCCTTACTGCACTAAGCACTGGGGATACGAAGGTAAAACAATTTAATTCCTGCTTTGTGGTTATACTGCTAATTTTGAGTTAGCCACGAAGAGACAAATGATTCTGTTTCCATTTCTGTAACTTGACGATGTAGAAACCAATTTTGAGAATTTTTTATTTGCAAAATGTTTCTTTACAGATGACAATATATTTTTAATTAAATCAAAGTAAAACAATAAGTACAAATAGATCTTTTTTTTCTAAACATGTAGCCAATGACAAACCTAGATTGTGAAGTCTAAAACCACTGCAGCTGTTTTCTGTAGTCAATATAGCAAGATCTTGGTTATCCGAAATTCCCCAAGGGGTGAGATAAAGTATAATTTTCTGAGTAAGCTTATATAAAATCACTCCAAGTTATTTTCTTGCCTTAATAAAGAGAGGACAGAGAATATGAGCAAATTTTGGGGATCTTAAATTGCATTCAGGATATCATTATACCTATCAACTGATCATTATTGTCCAGGACTCAGGTTATCAAGTTACAGGCAACCAAACCAATTCTCCACTATTTCTAGAAAAGATGTGACAAATTGTTATCATTGTTTTTCAGTTGTTTTGATTCACTCCCGAAAATCAACTGATCCCTTCTAGTTTTTTGCCTACTTTGAAGTGGTACACAACAAAATATTACAGTTAATTGAGTTTTCTTTATAAGTATACTATGGGAGAATAGATGAGGTGTTTTAAAAACAATCCAAATGACTGAGTTTAGAAAATAAGATTACAATACCTCTTGAGAGTGTCTGAGGAGATTTCTTTTCCCTTTTGATTTTAATGGCGAGTTGGAAAGAAACTGTGATGAATAAGAGACTGAGGGCTAAAGCTGAGTGTAGCATCATTTCTTCTAGAGAATTCCTCAGAAGATTCTAGGTGATGGAAAATAATTTTCAGAATTTAGTAGGTTACTTCAGGATGTCATTAAAAGACATTTGTTCAGAGTTGGACCAAACTTGAGCTGCCAAACTGCACTGCTTGTGTGATTTGACACGATACAAACACCGAACTCTTTCATTCACTTTTTATTTAAAAAATATTTTAAAAATGCATTCAACTCCATAAATGTTCACACTGTGAAAAGCCACATTGTAGGCATTCTGGAAATAGTACAATGAAGTTGAAAAGGAGCTGGACCAAGGCACCCAAAGCCTGATTCTGAATTGCTTACTGCACTATGGTGAAACTCAAATACGAATGAGTTAGCCCGATTTAAATTATTTCCCTCACAACGTGCAGTGGTGCAGTGGTTAAGAGCTACGGCTGCAAACGAAAAGGTTGGCAGTTCAAATCCACCAACCCCTCCTTGGAAACCCTATGGGCCAGTTCTACTCTGTCCTACAGGGTTGCTATGAGTTGAAATTCACTCGATGGAAATGGGTTTGGTTTCTTTCTTTTTTAATGTGCAGTGGAGTCCCTGGGTAGTACAAACAGTTAACAAGGTTTGTAACCAAAAGGTTGGCAGTTCAAATCCACCCAGTGGTACCTGGAAAGAGAGCCCTGGTGATCTACTTCCAAAAAATCTGCCACTGAAAACCCTATGGAGCACAGTTCTATTCTGACACACAGGGTTGTCATGAGTCCAGTCGACTGAATGGCAACCGGTTTAATCTGCAGTGGACTTATTTTTCTTTTACTTTTTTGTATTCAAGCATTGAAACATCCTGTTAAAGAATAACCATGACTGATAAGGATCTCAATTTAACTTCCTATAACTTATGAATATCATAAAACATTTCAGAATGCCATCTTATATCTTGA